TCCCCCCCCCCCCCCCCCCCCCATTACAGACCTTAGTAATTAAGGATAACAAGCGTCAGACTTTCAATTTTTTTTGAAAAATTGATCAAGTTATAATTTTGAAAGATAATCAACATCAGTGTTAGTGAGCTGATTAATATATATAATAGTGCATAAGATCTTCTGTATATATCATGGATATGTAAAACAGATTTATTTGCTAATTAATTCAATGATTATAATAATAAGAATATCGAATTACAAAAAACGATTTAAAAAAAATGAAAGATAATGAGCGAACAGCAACAATGCAAAATAAAAATAGGGCGCTCTCAAACAAAAAACAATTTCTGTTTTAAATGAAGAAATAAATAATAAAGTCTCGCTCTTGTCATTGATTATCAATGAAAACAACTACAACGTACACGAAATTTTTCAGTTTACATATGATGTATTAGAATATTAAGATTTAAGGATATATTTGAGTTCCACATTTCACCTCCACAGGAGCTGCGCTAACAAGCTTTTTTTAGTATACAATAGATAAATAAAGAAAATGAGCAAAAACAATGCATTGCGTAATAACAAAAACGAAAGAAAGAATAACAACAACAAATCATCAAACAGGTTTGTTTTTCTTTTGGTTGACTTTGTTCGCTTGATGATATGCATTTAATTTCCTTCTTCAACTCCTGTTTCATCTTGTTGCAACTAAATAAACAATTCTTTCGTAGACATTTCAACCGCGGCATGCCCTAAATAATATATATTTTATTAAGACTTATATATAAAGTTTAATTGAACAATATAATAATCTAATTGAATAATAATGAAATTTAGCAATAATTGTACTGAATGATCAATAATTATACTGGATGAGCAATAATAATACTGATTGAGCAATAATTATACTGAATAAGCAATAATTTATTTAAATCGAAGGTAAATTTTATACAAAAAGAGCAATAAGGATTCATTTATTTATACAGATACTGTTTTTTTAGTATTATTCATCTTTGTTGGATATTTCTTTTCTTTTCTTCTATCATATCGTATAGATGACACAGACGACATACATATATGTATTCTTTTCTCTTCTTTTTTTTTCCTTTTCCTTTCGTTCAGGTAGTTTCCAAATACTCACTTATTCAGGTAGTTTTCCCCCTTGGTGTAGGTTTTTTCCTTTTATCTTTGATTTTTCCTATCATATCCACATATATATTGTGTCCGTTTGAAAAATAAAAGACAGGCATATGATATCGATCAGTTAGATCGAACTCTTTGTCAACAAATACGTATTTTATCAATTTTATAAAATAAAATATATGGTCTATACAAATGGCTCAATCACAACACGTAGCGCAATATAGTTCTGATAGTGAAAGTGACAATGATATGAAATTGGAGTCTTCTAATAATACTGAAGAAGTGAATAAACAAACAAAACAAAATAGTAGAAAATAGGTTTGAATATACACATACAAAAATAAAGATGATGCTAATAGTCAAATAAAAACTGATGGTATATTGAGTAAATCTCAGACAAATATAACCACCAAGGTAAAACAGGTTTATTACAGATGTAATCAAGTAAAACGATCTAGAAAACAGTGTCAAGCTAGTATTCATCTTTTATATCATAGTGAAAAAAATGTGGAAATTGTTGCAAACAGAAAAAGAAGAAGACCATTTAAAGCAAAAAAAAAACGCTTTGTTAGTACAATAATATACTATATTGGCATTTTTCTTTTTTTTTTATTGCTAAAATATGAAATTACTACTGCTATTTAATGAATTGACTAATGTACATTTAGCAACATAAAATTCTCCAAATAAAGTTTTTTTTATTGCTCACAAATTATTGCTAAATCATGTTTTTAATTATTGCTCATTCAGATATTTTTATTGCTCAAATAAATACTAGCCTTTTATTAATTTATTTTGTTTTTTTTTTCATAAAAAAAAATTTTTATTTTATCTTCAGTTTCAGATTGATCTGGATGTTTAAGACATTCAAAAAATACATCTTCACTTACACATTCTTCATCATAGAATATATCAAATAGTAGTTGAGCCATTTCTATAAGAATAAAAAAACAAAAAAATTCTCGTTTCATTTACATAACTTTGTTTTATCAATATCTGTCATACTCTATCTACATAATTCAATAAATGATCAAGATTTCAGTTAAATTATGGTCTCATCTTTGAAAATCTGTTAGCGGAATCTCTAAGAGATTAGGGTGTGGGTGTGGGTGTGGGTGGGTGTGGGGTGGGGTGAGTGTGGGTGGGTGTGGGTGTGGATGTGTGGGTGTGGGTGTGTGGGGTGTGGGGTGTGGGTGTGGGTGTGGGAAGGTGCAGGTGGGTGTGGTGTGGGTGTGGGTGTGTGGGGTGTGGGATGTGGGTGTGGGTGTGTGGGGTGTGGGTGTGGGAAGGTGCAGGTGGGTGTGGGTGTGGTGTGGGTGGCGGGTGTGGGTGCGTGTTGGTAGGTGTGGGTGGGTGTGGGTGTCGGGTGTTGGTGTGGATGTGAGCGTGGGCGTGGGTGGGGTGTGGGTGTGCGTGTGGGTGTGGTGTGTGGGTGTTGCGTGTGCGTGTGGGTGTCGTTAAAAGAATAGCTACACCCACACCCCACACCC